GATCATGCTGGCGATTATTTATCATATTCAATAAAATCTGAACCTGCTCCGGTTTTAAGTCAGGCAAAGAAATGCCAGAGGACCCATGAGAGGAGGCCACTGAATCGGTCCCCCCACCAGCCACAGCATTGGCAGCCACGACCGTGGCGGCCACGGCTTTGGGCCGACCACGAGGAGCAGTCGGAGGAGCCGCAGGAGGTGGTTGTGCATTGGGCCGTGCACTGCCTTGGACTCCACGGTTCCGATCTTCCCACCAATCCAGATATCCATGCGTTTTGAAACAAGTATTGTCATCATGACCCGATCGCTTACAAACAGAACAATACAATTTTGATTTATCGGGACGGGTAAAACGAGCCTTGGGTCGTGCAGTTTGTAGAGCAAACACATGGATTTCCTCCTTGTCCGCTCTATCTCGAGCAATACCCCGAGACTTTTCTTCCTGAAGACATGCTTGATACACACGATCGAGATCAGGTAAAGGAGAAGTGGACAACAAATTAGAACGTACCGTTGCATATAACTCATCGTTAATGCCAATGAGAAATTGATGGAGTTTCTCCTCCTCCCGATCCGCAGCGAATCGACCAGCAACATCACAAGTACAATTACCACAGGCACACGCATGGAGAGGCTTGAAACGATCCAATTCATCATACAATCCCATCAAACGGGTATAATAATCATCAATAGACATATTCGAAGTTTGCTTACAGTTGGTAATATCGGCCCTCAATTGTTGAAGACGAGGACCATTGGCCACGCAAAACCGCTTCTCAAGATAATCCCAAAGTCATTTGGTTTCATCATGAAAAGGAATGGAGGCCGCCAATTTTGGATCAAGAGTCCACGTGATCCATGAGACAAGCATAGAATTGACAGTGTCCCAATAGAGTTGTTTCTTCTTCTCCGTCGGTTTGGTGAATGTCCCATCAACAAACACAAACTTTCGGCGAGCTTTCAAAGACAACTTAATTGCACGTGCCCATGCAATATAATTGTCATTAGAGAGGATCACGTGGGTGATCATATTCCCGGGTTGATCTCCAGACCCAAGATAATAGGGAGAGTGGGAATCTATTTTCCCATCGTCGGCCATAATGAGAAGAATCTGAGAGAAAGGCTGATTATGATGGTTGAAGAAATCATAGAAAAAAAATGGGTAAGAGCTTGCTAGGCTGCTAGGGCTCTGATACCATGAAAGAATTGGTTTTCCTTGATCTTCTTGATTCACCCGTAGGTAATATATATACAATATTACAAACTAAAGTCTGGCTACAGTTATGCGTACAAACTATAAATATGGCTATAATATGACAATTATACCATTGATCAAATCAGAATATACATATTCTAAAAATAGAAGATTAGATATTCTAGTATAATCTTAATATTGATCCATATTTGCTGATTAAGATATTAAAATATCAATTTTTGGTACTGTACTTCAATATTTTATATGATAAAAAAGTGTCACACGCAATTTTTTAAAATATTTTATTAATTTAATATTTTTAATATGTAATTATAGATTATCTAATTCAAAATCTTGTGATTGAGATAAATGAAAGTATTGAAATTGATAGTGTAATCATATCCTAATATTGTTTGATGAAGTGAATAGACCTAAGCTATCACGCAAAATACGTAAATGTCATGCAAAATACGTAAATTTGAATATTGAGAGGCTTTTTGTGCCAAGTATGAAGTAAGGTAGGGTAATTTGCTGAAGCTCCCCTTCTGTCCCTTCTGATAGTTTTCATGTTGGATGTCAGTTTTAATAGGTGTTGCGGTCTTAGAGGTGTGTTTTTGTTCTGAATTGTCTTCAAGTTAGCTCGAGAAGAATTTTTTTTTTGGTAGGGGGAAGAGGAAGGGGGACTTAAACCCTTGACCTCAACAAGGTAAAATTTTACAAGATAAGGAGTATCATTGGACCAAAGATCTATTGGTTCGAGAAGATGACCATAACGACTGACTTGATCTATCCATTTTCTCTTGTGTCATGAATATTAATGTAAAGCACGAATACGAATAACTCGATTTCATTACAACAACCTCCCTCAACTTGTATTATATGGAAAAAGATCCATTTTTTTTAAATATTTTTTGGTTTTTTGATATTTGTGATCTACTATTGTATGAATTGCTTTCAGTTAGATGATTTTTTATAGGTGTCGTTAAGAGGTGAATCTAGTAGATAATTAATTTATATGATAATTGGTTTAGAGAGAAACCAATTCTAGTTATAGTGTTATTAAATCTCTAATTATATGTATTAACTTGGACACGAGGCATATAAATTAACATGTCAAAATATGACATAAATCCAAAATTGTACAAACCGAATACCATGACACAACTCAATTAAAATCACACATGCAGACACCCCTGTGGCTGCTCTTCATTCTCAAACTATTATGCATTTCTGGTAGGTTTTAAAATCCTAAATTGTTGGTTAAGTTCCATTTTAGTGAAAGAAGTCCTTCATGGATAGTTATACATTTCTACACGATTAATGTTCCTTAATTTGAGAATAAGAAATTTCAAAAACTGAATCAATCATGTGAGGTAATATGGCCCAAATCTTGTGACTTGCATGAAATATATTCATGTAAAGTAACGTTTCTGCACAATTAATGTTATATAATTTGTGTTCAAGTGTAGTAGAGGACAAAATAAAGTGTACTCACTTAAGCCACCAAATTTAATGCATGTTCCCGGCTAGTGACAAAAGCTCATTCTTTTTTCGGAAGGTAAAATGTATTAAAATAAAAGTAAATAAGGGTAATCACCCACAATTGTACAATGAAGTCACATAAGATTCAAAAACAAACATCAAACAAAAAATCACATAGTCAAGGCTCAAAACACAAGTCTGTAAGAAATAGCTTGAGAAAGGGCATTTCCCACATATTTGTCGACAAAAATACGTTGGTAGACAAAAAACACAGAACCATAACATCCCAGCACAACAAAGCAGATCAGCCCCAAGCCGCAGCACAGCAAAAGCAAAACAGCCCAGCACAGAACAGGCAAAACAGCTCCAATCAGCAGCACACCAAGGCAAAACAGCCCAACATAACACAACAGGACAGCCCCGAGCACCAGCAAACACAACCAGCAGCAACCAGAAGCATAAGCATTTGATCCATGGCTTACACCACATTCTTAGATATAACTAATTTGCAAATATACCAAATCGGTTGCATGATGAAAATTGTATAACCATCAATGCGCATGTGCTCTTCCTACATAGTGGCATGCGTACTTGCTATAACCTCAGATTTCCTGCAATTAATGTGGTCGATTTTTCACTCATTTGAAAATTATTTGATTACTCTTTTTGCAAAACAAATTTGAAAATGGTAAATTTCTTGACTCAAATTCAAATTATTATCATAAGATCTCACCATACGAGGAATATATATTCAAATTCAGACGATTCAGGCTTTCTCTTTGGGTGTCCTCTCATCTTTCTCTATGCAATTTCTCTGTTATGGTCATGGTGTGAAGATCCACTATGGTTAATAATATGACAAAAAAAAATACATTTATATAACAAAATATAGACTGACCCAATTTTGTCTCCCGGCGAGAATAAGATATTTCAAAAACTGAATGAATCATGTGAAGTAGTATGGCCCATATCCTTTGACTTTCATGAAATATATTCATGTAATTATAATTATAATATGTCACTTCAACAGATCTTAGCATTCATCATTGATTCATATCAGCTGATAGATTGTCAATTTATAAGGCACAACAATATCAACAGAATCTTAGAAATATCAATTTTTTGTATTGAATGTCGATTTTTAAATGATAAAAATGTATAATTTAATATTTTTAATATATAAATATAAATCATCTAATTCAAAATCTTGTGATTGACATAAATGAAAGTATTGAAATTGATAGTGTAATCATATTCTAATATTGTACGGTGAAGTGAATAGACATCGTAATTGTGCGCCATTGGTGGGTGCCCCATCTCAATCATCTGAAGCCAAGTAGCCAAGGTTAAAGCATAAAGGCCATATAGCGGTGTCAATGGGCTAGGTTACCCACGAGTTTCGTTATATCGTTAGAAAAAAAATAGGTTTGAAACTCGATAAGTTTGATAGTTGGTCTGCTTGAGCACGAGCCCCAAAACCCATTATACGGCCCAAAGTCTGGCTCAAGAGCCCGTCCACCAAGCCCAACCCACCCACATAGCCTACCTACCCTTCATTTGAAAAAAAATTATATTTTTAGACAATTTGAAATAAGTCTATCAATATCGGAATTTGAAGTTTTAAAAATTTAGATACTATAAATAATGTATTATTTTATTTTTTATGTATTAAGCATACAAATTTTAAAGGGTAGAGTAATGCAAATACTAGATAAGTGAGTAGGTGTCAACCTAGTTAGGATATATTCATTCGTATTTCATCTCCTAATTAAAAAAAAATTATTATTTTATTTTTATCCATTTTGACTCTATTTTTTATTCAAAAATATAATTTACACAAATATTAAGTTATAAAAATATTCCTTATGTTTAAATAAAGTTGTATATAAAAAAGACCGCTAATAAGCCTGTCCATGGCCCGGCCCATGGACACCCCTAAGGCCATGATGGAGCTCAGCCACAAATTATTTTATGGGATTTTCTGATATGGTATCAAAATTATTATATGACATGTACATGTAAGGTGATAATTTTAAGAACAATGCTATGCGAACATAATTTGACGATATAATTTAAGGACTCAATGATTGTAGTTATTAGATTGTCAGTGGGTCTCAGTATTAAATAATCAGTAGATCTCAACACTATCAATCAAATAGTGACAATACATTAAGTCGAGTTCAGAGAGAGAAAGAGAGAATTTCACCGCCTCAGTCACTCACAACTCATCTATATATATAAACAACATAGGGAGAAGCATTTGCTACCACCACCAGCCTCCATTAAATTTCTGTTTATTGTTTGAAAATAGTTTGGTTTAGAAATGGGAAAGTTGGTTGCTCAGACTGAGATCATGTCTGATGGAGATGTGTTCCATGAGATCTTTAGGTACAGACCACACCACATAAAAAATCTGAATGGGGAGCTGTGGGCTCTGTCATCTTTTGGAACTACACCCATGGTAAGAGATATTTTATTTTATTTTTTATGTAAATATTATGATGTATGTTTTTTGAAACAAGTAAAAACAATTGTTACTAATGGTTTACTCATTTCTTACCCTTTAATCAGATTAGACCTTTTACCATAGCCTTACCCTTTAATCATACTAGACCATTCCGAATATTTAGATCCATCGGTACATGTGATAGGTTTTTGTGCAGCCACCTGATCTATCTCTTGTAGTTAGAGATCAAAAAATTCATATATCTAATTCATGTATTTCAAATGGAAAGACTTTGAGGGTTATTTCTTTGAGGTCTAAAATTAACTACCCCAAGTAAACATGATTTATGTAATGCACGTGATTTGCAGATAATCATGTTTTGCTACCAAAAGTTAAAAGGGCTCTTGATAGGATGCGATTATCCATGTTTGTTTTACAAAATCATACTGTTTTTCTTCTTAGCACCATAGTTTTTATTCATGTGGCTTAACAAGGCTAACAAGCACATTAATAATCCTATAAATCTCCCGTCATGATTCATATTGTTGATAATTCGACTTGTGTAGTAGAAATCCAAATTCCTATGTGGATTTTCTCATGTCTTAATATTAAATGAGATCTACTATTAATGCAACAGTAATAATGAATTGAGTCAAAAGATTTGAATGACATCATTTTTAATGAATTGAGTTAATAAATTAGGTTTGAATGACATCAATTTTAATTTTTGCTCGGGAGTAATTAATCAATCGTACTGGTGTGTCAACATAGATGGGAAAGAGAAGGTTGCCAAAAAGATTATCCAAGCCATTGATGAAGAAAAGAAGTCGGTGACATTCAAGTTGATTGAAGGAGATCTCATGGAGCTGTACAAGACCTTCATTGCAACTGTTCATGTTGATACAAAGGGTGAAAATATCTTGGTGACATGGACTTTCGAGTTTGAGAAGTTGAATGAGGGTGTGGAAGACCCAAATACTTTGATGGACTTATGTCTTGCTATCACCAAAGACATTGAAGCCTACCATCCCAAGTAATAGGCAAAAAGATGATCTACGTGAATTATTGGTGAGATATACCAAGTTCTTGTGTTATATAAGAATGTTTGGAAGTGTTAAGGTTGCTATTTCTATAACGAATAAGATGTATCTGTCAAGGACATGTATATGTGCTTGCTGAAGGTTATGTTCTTTTGTTTTGGGGTGCTTTATGTATATTTCTATGCAAAATAGTGTGGTAAATCTTGTTTATAAAAGCAAAGTTCAGGCTCTAAACCAATGAGGAAATAGTGCACTTTGTCCACATCGGAGATTGGTGCACCCATGGCTGTGAGATTATCAAACATCTCTTTGAATTTGTGGAAATATGCAGAGAAGGAAGAAATACCCTTTTGACAACATTAAATTTGTGACGGATGAAATAAACCCGAGCTTGAGACCGTTGTCGGTAGGTGTCCACAAGGAATTTCCATGCTGCATGAAAGGTGTTTAACCCGATAAGTTCTGCCATTAGCTCTTCAGTGAGAGTGGCATTGTTCTAGCTGAGAATTGTTTGATCCGTTGTAACCCAATTGTCATAAGAAAGATTGATTTTTGTCACATTATTTTTTCAGAGATAGTGTTTTCTTGTTGAGGGAATTTTCCTTCAATGAAATCCAGCAGCTTGTGGCTGCGGAAGACAGGGAGAAATTGATTTTTCCATAACAGATAATTTTTTCGGTGTGAGACGAATAGATATCAGGTTAGTGATTGCGGCAATAGAGAGGGTAGGCAGTGTGATGGAGAAAGAGGGAGAGGAAATGAGTTTAGTGGAAACGAGTGTACAGCTGTCACTTGTTTCAGTGGACCTGGCTAAAATAAGCACTTGTATCGGTGCGGCTGAAATAATAGAAATAGTAATGTTATACTGATCAAATTTTAGAATTAAATTAAAAGTCTAAATTATATGATAGTTGACTTGAACTTCTTTATTTGGTATCATATCATTTGGACTCCAATAAAGACTCCAAATAATATGCTGTCATGTTATTTGAGCTCTTAATTTAGTTCAAAAATTTGGTCAGCGTAGCATTAGTATAATAGAAAACTGATCTCAAGAGGTAAAGAATCTCTGAAACCAACATTAAGGTTTATGTTTTAGAAAGGAAGCTCTATCAAACTTTGACATAATCGAGGCATTATCCATAGTATTTATAAAGAAGATGAATACAATCCAGTGACCAACCGAATGCCATTATCAAAAATTTATATAATAAAGTAAAGCTGAATTTGAATTTTGGAGACAAAAAGAGGTCCAGATCGTTTTGAGACAAAATATAAACACATCTAATGGACAACGTAATCCCCACATAAAGACGGTTTAGATCATCTCAAAATTTTTGATTTAACGGTCTACAGTGAGTATTGAATTTTATTTTTCCGCCTAACTATATTTCATTTTTTAATTATCATATCGTTTCAAAATTATCCCGACTAAACGTTTAATCTTGGAATCCCCCTCAATCACGCTATTTTTTCACGAATCTAAACTTTTCTCTCTGTTTTACTCTCTGTTTTACTCTCTATCCATTATTAACGCCCCAAATCTCTCTCTCAGGCACATTCCTTCTCATGCCACAAATCTCTCTATCCATCATTAACATTTTAATTGTGTACAAGGATTAAGTGTTGAATTAGAAAGAGTAACATGGAAGTTAGTAATTCTAATAATTTGATAGTCTTGAACAGAGCTCACACAAATTATCTACCATTGGGGCATGGAAGAATAACAAGAAAGTAACTATAGAGGTTGAGCTAAAACAAATTGAGGTAATAAATCTTCTTTTATTTTCTAGCAAGGTATAATGAAATAGAAAAGACCTTAATATTGGATATGATTTTATTTTGACACTATCTATGCATGATGGGCTAGAGAAATTGGAAAAGAAGGCAGAATTTGTGGAGAGGATGAAAAACAATGGTGTTGTCATCCACAATTAAACAGAAGAAAATTTAGTTCTTTATTATTTGCAACATTATTTCTATTCAATTAAATAAGTTTCTTGGGTCTGTCTATGTAATACAAATATTAAGTGATTATTTCTTTTTTCCGTAAGTCAATATTTTCAGAGCCGGGTGATTATTGGTTTCATTGGGCTATGTTTTAGGGAGAGAAAAAAGAAGTCATCTTTTACGAGATATAGACGAAGAGGGGTTTTGTTTCACAAAGGAAAAAGCTCACTAGAGAGTATTTAAAAGAATCATACTATTGTTCATTGATTGGCCATAGATACATATCTACCATTGTTCATTGATTAGCCATAGATACATATCTCCACATTTGTAAAATGTATCAATGAAATAGTTTTATGCTACTTTTTTAGTTGGTTGCTTCAAGTCCATTAATTTAAACTGGTTGTGATTGTTCTATTTTTAATAACTGAGATGTCCTTATTTGTGTATTCTAGCAATGTTGTAATTGTAGTATTTGTCTGTATTGAATGAACTATCTTGCTTATCTTTCACATTTTTGGATTTTCATGAGTAATAAATAGATGAATTTATGGAATATCTAACTATTGGTTTCCCATTTTATTTTCTTTCCTTCTTTTTTAATTTTCCTTTCTTTTTGCTGTTGGGGTCATGGGCAGTAGTTGATTGATGAATGACAAAATGAGTGTTTTTATGTTATAGCGGGTGTTTTATTACAGTTATGGAAATTGAGTCACTCTCACATCTCCCATCTATTTTCATAGGGTAAAAAAAAATTGATCAATTGAAGAGAATACCTTTGAAGGCACATAAAGAGAAGTATAAGCTTTGTCTCTTTCACACTACTCCTCTATTTATTGTCTTCAAATTTCTATTTATGAATTTCTACGTGTCATTATTTAATTTTATGATAGTAGAATCATGAAGTTTGTCTAAATTTTCGAACAAATTTTCATAGGTGGAGGTTGTGGTGGTAGGTTGGTGGTAATGGTTGTCTATAACAATTTTTTTTTTTTAAAAAATTTGAGTTGTTCTCTTAGAATCTGTAACTGGTGATTAATTTTATGTTATTTTGCTTTCCCTATAAGGCTTATAAGTTTTGCTATTGGTTGTGATTATGCTTTTTTAGTCATGATTTTTGTTGGAGAGGGTTAGAAGTGATGAGTTATGGTCACAACTTAGTAATATTGGAAGGGATGTTTAAGAAATAGAAGAGTTTGGTGGTGGTGGCAGCTTAGACCTTTACATATTTGGCCAATCCCGCCACAATGGCTGCCATAACAAGTGAGGTTTCAAAAAGTTTTTGTGGCGGCAAATTTGTGACAATACTACTGCCACCAAAATATTTTTTTTTTCAAAAATACATTTTTTTTGTGACAATGAACACAACTGTTACAAAAAATTTATTACAAAAAACCCTAATTCTTATAGTGGTTATCACCGGTCTAAAAACTACATAAATTATATAAATAATGTTATTTAATATATTGAATAAAATGAAAGCGAACAAGAACATTAATTTAAATTCAAAATTAACCTTTTTATATGTCGTTCTCATCCAAGCTACACACTACAAAATATTTAATAGTTAAAATCCCAATAAAACAAAAATTTCAACCTTGCTTTTAAGTCAAAGTGCTTTCAAAAAATCTTCTAATCTCATTGTAATAGTAGCTAACCACCGCTAATCTAACGAAAGTGAACAATAGAGCAAGTAGGAGTAACAATGAAATATTCATCCTGTCATGCATTGATTCATGACAGCATTAAGGAAAAAATTAATGTCAATGCCTACAGAAAATAGACAGTGAAGCAAATAGACGACTTGAAATCATTTTAAACATTTCTTCGACTTTCATTTATTTTTTTGAATATTAATACTTTCATTGACATATAAAATGTCAGTGGACCTGGACCAAGCTTTATGTGGATAAATGAATGGAAATCATGAGAATAATCACCCTAATAATGCATATGTAAAAACTTTGCAGCACTGAGCTACTATGACTCCAAGCAAGAAATGGAGAAAATTAGTATAATGATAAAGACGGTAAAAATAGGGCACACTCGTATTAGATTTTTATTATATTCATCCTTTCGGTTAACATATAAACAAACATTGATCCTTGATTTTCAATGAAATAAAATCCTTGAGTATTCAATTTCGGCTTCTAAATTCAAGGATGAACTTTATTTGGTTGAGTTAATTAGTGTTCCACTCAATTTGGACTAAAATAGATGAATATTGAGTTGTTTAACTGAGAATCTGTTTGTATTTGCAGGAGAAATTATGCATAGCTTTATTATATTGATTTGGGGGTAAGTTGAGTTTGGGTTTCAATTGGTAAGTCAAGGAAGGAGATCAAGAAACAATTACAAAAAGAAAAGGGAATGTTTGATGGGACTAGGGAGAGAGAGACAAACTTCTGGTAGAGAGTAGCTTAAAACATAGATCTTAAGTGCCAAAATATGCCTACTGCTCACGATGGATTATAGTTGTGGTTGACAAGAATGATTTCTATCTCTCTCTCTCAATTTGAAGAAATGCATTTTTTGATGTCTAGCTCACACCCCCCTGGCTGACACATCTAACTCCAACAAACTCTTTCTGATGCTTTCTACTTAATAATAGTGCCATGTAAACTTTCTAGCACAATGTTTGTACTTATATATATATATATATATCTTGGCCATGTTTTTATCCGTAAATCAAAATTCAAGTAAACTATGATTGTATCACTGATATAAATATTCTTGACTCAAGCTAAAAATAAGTACATTGTTTGTTTCATTAAATGTTTAGAACAACAGAATAGAAGCTATGTGGGCACGGAAGCATTTTTATGACTAAAACACAGATGGACTAACGTCTAAACAGAAAAACAATACATAAGTTTGGATAGTTCTCCTATGAGCCTCATCAAAATTAACCTTTTTATATTATGTTCTCATCCAAGCTATACACTGTAAAATATTTAATAGTTAAAATCCCAATACAACATAAATTTCAACCTTGCTTTTAAGTCAAAGTTTACCCTTTTAAAAAATCTTCCAATCTCATTGTAATA